GGTCTAATGGACTAGAGGCCTTATATTTACATTTATACTTTGTATACCCCTTTTCTAAGTCCAAACTCTACAGTTGTGGAATCTACACTACTGTGTTTTTCTTTCTGAAAATTGTGACCATTTCCATTTTTCCATAACTTAAAAAATATTTGATAAGCAAGTCTCTAAGTTCTTTTTAATATCACCAGATGTAGTTTTCTGGACCAGAAGACTTGAATGTTTGTAAAATGTTAAGGTGTTTTTATTACTTCACACTTAGACTAATCACATATCCATTGCCATCAAGTACTAGGATACTGTATAACAGAAAACTTAATTCAGGACTCTAAATCAGTATCACACAAAGGCCCTAATTAACTTATAAAACCCCCGTGTTACGATAGTTTTAAAATAATTTTTGTTTTAAAAGTTAGTTACCAAAATTTTTTGTCAGTTATACATCTCTTGAGATTCATACCATATGAAAAACAAAAAGCCCTCATGTGGTTTTTAGTAAAAGAAACAAAAAAGCCACCTTGACTTATTATTTGTTATTAAAATTGGTGAAATTCAAAGTTATAGAAGCACAGTTGGAGGGTTTTGACTATAGTGTTCACATTTTTCTACTATAAATTTGGTTATAGCTTCTACAGACACTACATTTGTATAAAGAACTCTGGGATAGGCTATTTCTGTCAACAAGATTCCAAAATTATAGACACTGATGTCAATGCAGATGAGCATAGCCTAATTTGGTGAGGAGAGGGGCATGCTGAGTCTCTATATGGATAGCTAAAGGCTATTGCCAAGATTGACAGGTGTCCTGCGGGTGGCAGAAAGCCTCAGGGATAAAATTTGCACTTGGATTGCTTCTCTAAGACACAGTGATCAAAGTCATACCTCTTATTTTTATTGATCATACCCACTCCTGAAATAGTGAGGTCTGCTTTTAATGCCTTAATTTTTTATGTATTAGTTTTATAAGCCCCAGAAAGATAAAAGTTTTTCACTTTTTTTTTTAATCCTCACCCGAGGATACTTTTGCATTTATTTTCAGATAGAGGAGGAAGAAGAGAGGGAGGAAGAGAGAGAGAGAGAGAAACATCAATGTGAGAGAGACACATTGAGTGACTGCTACCCACACGACCCCAGCTGGGGCCAGGGACAAACTGCAACCGAACCCGGGACTCTCCAGTCCATGGGCCGATGCTCTAACCGCTGAGCCAAACTGGCTAGGGCTTCACTTTCCTCTTACAGTATCAAATTCTGTTTTGGAAAGTTGAGCTGTATCCTATGCATTAATTTTTTGGTATAGTCAAGTGCTTTTGTTGGTGGTTGTTGTTACCCTGCCATATTTCAGTAAGACTTTGAGAGGTGAGAAAAGTTAATGTAAAAGAATACATTTGTTATTGGTGTAAAAGGTAACTCGTTTTTTATGGAATAATAAATTGCTTGATTCAATCTTGAAAGATTAATTTTTAGAATTTTTAATACACAATATTGTAAAGGCATGTTTATACTAATTGAATAACAGTTTTTTTTTATTTCATCTTACTGAAATTTTTTTTATTATTCAAAATAAATTAGTAGTATTTCATATTTCAACATAAGAAAAAGTTTTAAAGCACTTAGGTTCATGCCATTAAGAAAGTTAAGTATATTGTTTTAAGAAAAAACAGCTGTATTGCCTGAGATTTTTGTAAGAGATTTGAGAGATGTAAATGTGCCATTAGCAGTAAAGAATCTCTGATTTTAGTCATAAACTCAATAGCTATCTCTATTCAAAGAGGACATTTTGTGACCTGGAGGATTGTGTCTTGATTATCTCTATATTTCAGTGTTAGAAATATAGTAGAAATTTAGGACAAGGTTGCTGAGGGGACCATTTTTAGGGAGCCAACCTGTTCACCAGTGTGAAAATGAAAACCAAGACCCTAGCCCTACTAGAGCTCAGGAAAGGTTCGTTAGGGTGCTGGGCAAGCACAGTGCACCACTATCATTACAATTAAGCCTAGAGTTAGGGTGGAGCTAGAGCGGGTTAGGCCGTTATTCTTGGGTCTTCAGTATTTAATTCAGATTCAGTTATAATTTATTTGAAGCTTACTATGAGCTAGGTATTCTTTTATGGTTGTTATTTAACTCTTGGTAAGTAGAAGAAAATCAGGCCCAGAGAGGTGGTGACTTTGCCCAGTGACACTGAGCTCTTGGCAGTAAAGCTAGGAAATAAACCCAGGCTCTTGATTGGTGGAAATAATCTCAGCAGAAACTCTTTTTTCAAAAAAAATTTTTTTTCTATACTGATTTTAGAGAGGAAGGGAGAGGGAGAGAGACAGAAACATCGATGAGAGAGAACATTGATTGGCTGCCTCCTGCATGCCCCCCACTGAGGATCTGGCCCACAACCTGGGCATGTGCCCTGACTGGGAATCGAAACGGTGACCTCTTGGTGCATAGGTTGATGCTCAACCATTGAGCCATACCGGTTGGGAGAAACTCATTTAAAAGAGAACTTTTGGGACTGCCTTTCTTACTTTTTCCCACTCCGTGTCTCAATTCTGATTTTTTCCCTCTTCTTCTCTTTAGTCCTTTCTATTTACATAAATTAAAAGTACAGAGTCTTGAGTTCACCATTAACCAAAAAGACGTTTATAAAAATGTGTAAGTACTATGCCAAAGATAGCAATATTGTATTTGCTTCCCAGACCTTGAGCTTTTAAAGTGCTGATTGGAAAGGAAATATTCCTGGACCAGGCATCACAGTGTAAAGGGCTAATTTGGAGTGTGCAACCCCGGCCAGAGCAGCAGATGTCGACCTCGAGCCCATTTTAGCCACTGGCCCAGGCTCCACAGCCCCTCAGAGACGGACACCAGCATTGCTCCTGAGAGTGGGGCTGGCACACATTCTGCTACTTGTCCTGTCCCTGGGCATCCTTTGAGTTTGATTACTGCAACCTCACTGGACTACAGAGAGTAATCAGAGACCTTGACAAATCACGTCACACCTAATTTCATGACAGAATTAATGTTACTCCGATGTGTGCAAGGATTAACGTGAATGGCTTCCATTTAGAAAAAAATTTATTTCGCCCTGGCCGGTTTGGCTCAGCGGTTAGAGCGTCGGCCTGCGGTCCAGAGAGACCCGGGTTCAGTTCCCGCTAAGGGCATGTACTTCGGTTGCAGTTTGTCCCCGGCCCTGGTTGGTCGTGCGGGTGGCAGCCGCTCGATGTGTCCCTTCACGTCGATGTTTCTTTCTCTCTCTCCCTTCCTCTCTCTCCTTCCCACTCTATCTGTACAAAAAAAAAAAAAAATGGAAAAATATCCTCGGATGAGGATAAAAAAAGAAAAAAATTTATTTAGACCTATTAGTTTAATTTATACTTCATTTTGACAGGTCAAGAATTAACTTTTCTGTTAAATAAACACTTTGTACTGAGGATTGGATAGTGAAAATAGCATTATATTTGAACTATCTGGGCTATGCTCAAATATTGTAGAACCATCGTTTGTGTACCATTGACATGCTGGTGACTGTCTCCTCAAGAACTGTCATCCATGCCATGGTCCTGTCACTTGTTGAGGATTTCAGGTCCACTTCTCTTCATCTCACCACCCAGTCCAGTCCGGACAGTCATCGCCTCTCTCCTGGACCTCTGCAATGGCCTCCTAACTTCCCACACAGCCCCCCCCCCCCCCCCCCCCCCCCAGCTATACTTGATCAAAACCAACTAAAATTTTTCAGCACGTTGGCATTGGCTTTTAAGATGAAGACACAGCCCTGGCCAGTTTGGCTCAGTGGTTAGATTGTTGGCCTGCGGTTCAGGGAGACCCGGAATCAGTTCCCGCTAAGGGCATGTGCCTTGGTTGCAGTTTGTCCCCGGCCCTGGTTGGCAACCCCTCAGTGTGTCCCTTTCACATCGATATTTCTCTTTCTTTCTTCCTCTCTCTCCCTCCCACTCTATCTGAACAAAAAAGTAAAAAATGTCCTTGGGTGAGGATAAAAAAATAGATGAAGGCACATCATGGGGCCTCCCCTCTAGCTTTCTGCGAGCCTGCGTTCCAGCCTCCCGTACCCTTCTCCATACGCACTGTACTTGGTTTGGGCTGCTCCTTGGCCATCGTCATGCCTTGTCCCTTCATTTCAGCTCAGGGACATTTCAGAGACTGGGAAGAAGTCCCTCACCCCTTAACTAGGTCATAACCAGGCTTTGTTGGCGGTTTCTCAGTTCCTCTGTTGGCAGTATCTCAGGTTCACTGCACTTGGTACAGTTGCAGACGTTGATAATGTAGATGGACTAAACTGTAAGCTTCACAAGGGCAGGAGCCATGTCTGTGTTTAGTCACTGATAATGCCCCTGCCACCTACATCTCGCACGGGTGCTGGTACATAGTAGTAACTTAATACATATTTGCTGAATGCTTCGTGAAAGTTTCATGAAAGACTTTTTCTCAGCATCATGAGGATGGATGAATATAGACTCACTTTGCCATTATAGAGCTCACTCACAGCCAAGAGAAGGAGACATGTGCCAAAAACATTGTAATGTAAACTAGATTGCAGTTAGGGCTTGGAACTACTATGTTTTTAATTGAAAATGTACTGAATTCAAAATGAGTGAATTATAATGTTAAATAGCACAGACAGTATTTATGAAAGCCTATAACATTCATACAGTAAACCCAGCTCTAAAGGAAATAAAAAGTTGAACAAATTCAGTATTAAAAGTTGAAAAGATAGAATAAAATGCATTAATATCTTTAAATGCCAGGACATTATACCTATGAAGCTGGTTTATGTGGAAGAAATGAAGTTTTTTGTGCTGCCAAACATTTTTTAAAAGTTGTTTCAAAGCTCTCTGTTAGTATGAACATTGTAGAAGTGTTTGGGGCTAGCCTGAGACCTCTCTTGTCTCCATTTTGTGAGACTGTTAGGTCAGTCCTCAGCAAGGTTTTCCCTTTTTCTCTTCCAACATTACTGACGCTGTTCTCCCCCAACCCTGGGTTGTGGCATTAAGCACGCGCCGGGTAAGAAGGCTGGCTGGCAGCACATTCTCGGAGGAGTCAGGTGATCAGGTGATCGCTGTGTGAAGGCAGCTGCTTGAGGTTCAAGGCCGTCAGTGTTCCCTCTTCTGCCTCGGGACAGCTGGTTACTCTCAAACTCCTGACAAGCCTTTCTCCTTTGCTCGCTGGGGGAGGAGGGAGATTATGCCGCCAGCTTTTGATTGATCCAATGGGAATTACATTGATCTGGTGTCTGGCCTTGGTTCTTATCAAGTGGATTGCCTCTAAGGTAGGCCATCTTTATTATTACAATTATAACATTAGTTATTAGTCTTTATATTTGGTAGGAATGAAATTACTAGTCCAGTTTCTTCTCCTTTTACTTCAGTTTTTATTTCTCTAACTAAAAGAAGTATGGGTTTAACCTGTCAGCTGAAAAGCTTAAAATTATGTTTATTCTTCTCCCACCTTATTCTTCCCCAAGGACTTTTTCTGGTGTCATTCCTTGGAATAATTTCTTTAAAGAAGTTTTTATGATGAAAGCAATTCAACTTTTAAGATTATAAAACTAATAAACAATTTAGACTTTTGGTGTACATATTTTAAACATTCTCTCTGGAGATAAAGAATTTACTAATGCTTATAAATTTAAAGTATAGTTATTGAGGATTTCAAAACACAATTATAATATATAAACATTTTAAAAACTACCTCCATCATGGTCTCTCAAGGTCTTGCTGCTACTAAAATGCATGCCTTACTTATAATATACTGAAAACATTTAAAAGTATTATATATCCATTTTTTAAAAAATTTTCCTTCTAAATATCAGGCTTGAGAAATGCTTGTTAGAACCCTAGCCGTTTACCATCTGGATGAGAGTCTAAAGTAGGATATATTTAAGATTATACTATTTGAAATTATTTTTCTATACTCATATAAACATGATTATATCTTTTATCCACCATGCAGCTTTTGTCTTAATGTATTAAGAAATTGAAGATTGTTAATAAAATGTTCAAAGTGTCACTATTTACCAAGTAACACAAAAGTTCCTATAGAGTTGTTTCTTTTTCAAGTAGGGTTTTAGTCCCTAATGTCATTTTTTTTTTCACATTTAAGCATAATGTTTTAAGCATATTTGTCTCTTAGTTGAAGCAGTTCTGTTTCCTTAGGTATATGATTGAAGAACTCTCTTAAAAACCGTGTACTCCAGTTTTTCGAATCCTTATGTTTTGTGAGTTAAGAATTAATTTTGTTGCACTCACAGAGATTTACTCATTGTTTTTAAAGGATTAGCTTGCCAAGTTATTGAATGAAGGTCAAGTTAATATTAATTCATTAGTTGAATTGTGGATGTTTTCAGAGGCTTTACTTTTCATATAACCACCAAAAATTTAACTTTTTAAGCAAAAAGAATGCTAATATTTTCTTCGTGATTTTTTTTTTTAAGTACTTTGTCTAGGGAATAAGAATGGGAAGGATACTGTTCAGTGGATCAATGTAGTCTTCAGCTAGGCACTCAAACATGAGCATGTTTTTCTTGCATATGTAAGATGAGTGTACTCTTAAAAAGCTCATTGTACTGTATCAGAGAAAACTGCTTTCAGAACTTTACCTGGGCTTGATCTTTTGTAGCATGTTACTATTTTTTGGTAATGCTACCAAAAAATTAATTTAGTGCTACTATGTATAAGGCATTTGACCATCAGTTTACTGATCAGAAAAACTAAGCCAGTGAAACAGATCTCAGAGGTCTGTATGGGTTGTGAGATTTTTGTTGTTGTAAATCCTGGCTTGAGGATATTTTTTCCATTGATTTTTGTTGTTGTTGTTGTTAGAGAAGGTGGAAGTGGGGACGGGGGGGCATCAGTGTGAGAGAGACACATCTATTGGTTGCCTCCCACTTGTGCCCCTGACCAGGGCCAGGGATTGAACCCAAGACACTTCTGTGTTTGGGCTGACCCTCTAACCACTGAACCATGCCTGACAGGGAAGTTGTGACATTTTGTGTGGAAAGCGCCTGAAATATTTTTTGGCACAGAATAGGAAGGAGATCACCAAGTGTTAGTTAATGTATTATTACTTGTACCATGTAAGAGAAATAAATATGCTTTTTCACAATAGATCGTTTTAGTGGAAACTTGAACGAGATAAAAACAGTAGCCCTTAAAATATCTTTGGTTACTTTTAAAACATGTTTGTCTTTCAAAGTTATGTATTAACTAATCTCAGGAACAACTTTTACACCTTTGGTCATTTATCTTGTAAGTCAAGTCTTGTGGAAGTGATTCACCCTGATTCAGGGTAGTAAGTGTCTTAACCTGGGCCACTCAAAGCTCCTGGTAGTGGCAGCGGATCCTTTGGAACCTTAAAATTTAACTTTGTGCTGGGACATCAGTTTCTGATTAGCTCAGCTTCACTCATGTTTTGACCTATACTAGTTTGCTTTACAAGTTGTTCCCAGGATGGCTAAATTAGAAAAGTCACGAGGAGAAGCTTCTCAGCTATTTCCATTCACTGGTGAGGTAAAGCGGGATTGTGGGTGATAGCTGAGTGTTTTATGACTGACCATGTGACATAGGAATTTGGTTAAATTTGTTTTACTATTTTTATCAAAAATAGAGTTGTACTACATGGCTTTATTTTTATTTACTTTTAATTTGTCTTTATTGTTTAAAGTATTACAGATGTCCCTTTTTCCCCACCGATCCCCCCTTCACCTCATATCAGTTCTTTGGTTTATCTCTTTCCTCCACCCAACGCCCTCTTCCGTCTGAGGTGTCAGTCTGTTCCCAGTTTCCATGTCTGTGAATCTATTTTGTTCATCAGTTTATTTTGTTCATTATATTCTGCATATAAGTGAGATCATGCAATACTTTTTCTGACTGGCTTATTTCACTTAGTATAATACTCTCCAGCTCCCTTCATGTCATCTCAAAGGGTAAGAGGTCCTCTCTAACAGCTGTATAGTATTCCATTGTATAAACATACCACAGCTTTTTTATCCACTCATCTATTGAGCGACACTTGAGCTGTATCCAGATCTTAGCAATTGTAAATAGTGCTGTTATGAACATAGGGGTGCATATATTCTTTCTAATTGGTGTTTCAGGCTTCTTGGGATATATTCCTAGATGTGGGATCACTGGGTCAATTGTCAGTTTCATTTTTAATTTTTTGAAGAAACACTGTATTGTTTTCTATTTTTAAAAAATATTTTCTTTTCTTTATTGATTTTAGAGAGAGAGGAAGGAAGAGGGAGAGAGAGACATCAATGAGAGAGAACATCGATTGGTTGCCTCTTGCATGCCCCCCACTGGGTATCTGGCTCACAACCTGTGCATGTGCCCTGACCAGGAATTGAACTGGCAACCTGTTGGTGCTTGGATCAATCAATGCTCAACCACTGAGCCACACCGGCCAGGCCACTATACTGTTTTCCATAGTAGCTACACCACTCTGCATTCCCACCAGCAGTGTACTAGAGTCCCCTTTTCTCCACATCCTGACCAGCACTTGTTTGATGATTTTTTGATGGCAGCCATTCTGGGAGGTATGAGGTGATAGATACCTCATAGTTAGTCTTTTTAATTTGCATCTCTCTGATGATTAGTGACATTGAGCATTTTTTCATATGTCTCTTGGCCATTTGTATGTCCTCTTTGGAAAAGTGTCTTTTCATGTCCTGTGCCCATCTTTTAATTGGATTGTTTGTCTTCCTTTTGTTGAGGTGTATGGGTATTTTATATATTTTGGATATTAATCCTTTATCCGATGTATCATCGACACATATATTCTCCCATACAGTGCGTTCCCATTCCATTTTGTTGCTGGTTTCTTTTGCTGTGCAGAAACTTTTTAGTTTGATGTACTCTCATTTAGTATATGACTTTTATTCTTTTCTTTATTGATAATGGAGAGAGGAAGGGAGAAGGAGAGAGATAGAAACATCAATGAGAGAGAACATCGATTGGCCGCCTCCTGGAGATTGGGCCCACAACCTGGACATGTGCCATGACCAGGAATCGAACCAGCGACCTCTTGGTGCATGGGTTAATGCTCAACCACTGAGCCACATTGGCCGGGCTAGTATATGACTTTTAAAATGGTAATGTTTAAAGTATGTATGTTAAGTCTGTGCTGCAGTGTTGGTGTATAAAGCACTTGTAAATATTTTATAAAATACAATGATCCTACCCTGGCCAGGTGGTGTGGTTGGTTGGACCATCGTTCCATGCACCAGAAGGTGCTATATTAAACCAAAAACCAAGACATGACTCTTATGAAATAAATCCAAATGAGACAGAAATATTTTTGTTTCTCAGTTGGGGCGCATAATGAGGGCAACAATTCAATGTTTCTCTCTCTCTCTATCTCTCTCTCTCTTTCTTTCTCTCCCTCTCTCTCTAAAAATAAGCATATTCTTGGGTGATGACTTAAAAAAAAAAGAATAATAATAATAAATAAAATACCATGATTCTAACATGTAATTCAAATTTTTGTAGTTAGAATTTATCATTTATAATGTATTTTTCCAAAATGAGTTACTTGCCCTGGCCGGTTTGGCTCAGCGGTTAGAGCGTCGACCTGCGGTCCTGAGAGACCCGGGTTTGGTTCCCGCTAAGGGCGCATACCTCGGTTGCAGTTTGTCCCAAAATGAGTTACTTTAGCCTGGCCAGTGTGGCTTGGTGGTTGAGTGGCGACCCATGCTCCAGGAGGTCGCTGGTTCGGTTCCCAGTCAGGGCACATGCCCAGGTTGTGGGCCAAATCCCCAGTGGGGGACATGCTGGAGGCAGCCCATCAATGTTCTCTCTTATCGATGTTTCTGTTTCCCTCTCCCTTCCTATCTGTCTAAAATCAATAAAGAAAAAAAATATTTTTAAAACAAAATTAGTTACTTTATTTATTTTTTAAATTATTTATTTTTGTTATAGACATTTCTCCTCCCCCCTCCAGATACCCTCATCCCTAACCCGCCCCCCTACCTCCACCCCACAAGCATTGTTGTCTAAGTCCATTGGTTACACACGCATGCATATAAATTCTTTGGTTTATCTCATCCCTCCCAAAATGAGTTACTTTAGATTATTCTACAATAAAGGATATTTTACCTTTCTAATTAGTGGCTGTTTTAGTAAATACCCTTCCTACTTTGGAAAAACAAAAAACAAAAAACCAACCACTCTTTCTAAGGAGGACTGTTAGAGATAACAGGCTAAAATTTGTTTTAACAAGCTGCTATCCAAATTATTATTGAGCACTAGCAGGTTGATAGATGTTGACCATGACAGGGTAGGTATTATATAATAATATCTATAGTCTCATTAGTATGATCTAACTGATAGAAATATTTATTTCTGCATAATATGCTTTCCAGGGTACTGAGTTTTCCACTAAAATGGTAATGTTAAGGGAGACCTGTAATACAATATTCTAACTATCTTTGTAGTGGGGATTGGAATAGTAGGTGTGAGAGGTGTCTTTCCATACCAAGTTTAAAGTGGGTGTTTGCTCCAGAAAAAATAGTTTAATGAAACAGTGCAGGAGGCTTCCTTAGGCTATTGTATTGGGGGAAGAGGCTTTAAGCATGTTGCTGCCAGTAGTGTGTTCTATATCCTTTAGCCCCTTGGGATTGGAGCTTCTGCTCTGTAGTGTTTTTATAGTAGATTCTTATTGTATTTTTAAATTTGATTTATTTAGTGAATGTATAACCACATGCTACAAAATTCAAAAGCTGTGCATTGAAAAGTTCTTCTCCACCTCTGTGTCACTCTGCCTCCTTGGAGGCAACCAGTGTTGAAAATTAGAATTTTTTTTAAACTTTTGTTTCATTCATATTTCATATTGTTTTTTGTGTGTGTTTTGTTAAGGATACATGAAATCATGTAAGAATTTACTTGATAGTTTTCTCTTAAATGATAAGCATTAAAGGAGATAATGATTTGGGAGTTGTTTTGCATACTAAATTTAAATGAGAGCTTTAAATAAATTTTTCTTTATAATAATAGTAAAGTTTTTTTAAAGGAGATTTCTAGGTGTATGTTGAGGAGTTATAAATCTTATGCCAGAGATCTGTGAGGGAAGAACATTATTAATCTGATAAGTAAAATGCAGTCTCACTGCTTTAATGTGTATTTTTTTTGTTAATGAAGTCAGACATTTTTTTTCTTGTGTTTACTGGCTTATTTCTCTTATTGCAAATTGCATGTTTATGTTCTACCTGTTTTCTGCATTATTCATCATTTTGTAATTGATATGTGAAGCACTTTTTCCCCCCTTTCATTTTTAGGCTATTCTGTAGTCGGGGGAAATTAGCCCTTGTCATATCTGTTCAATTCATTTTTCTTGGTTTGAGGTTTGTATTTTGCCTTTGTTTATGATATATTTTACCATATATAATTTAACTTTGTAGTAGCCGAAGTGATCCATTTTCATGACTTTTGGATTTATTAGGACAGTGAGAAAGGCCTTTTCTATTTAAGAATTTTTTAATATGGTCATATTTTCTTTTCATTTAACTTCTAGGTTTTTAATATGTCTTCATATCAGTGCTATTCATTAACTTATTTGCAAAAAAACACTTATTTACCAAATGTTTATTTAGAATCTACTAAATAATAGCTACTGTTTGGAGGGACAGGAGTACAGTGGTGAATAAGATAGACACAGTTCCTGCTCTTGTGGAGATTTATTTTAGAACATGCAAACAAGGTAACAACAGCTAAGTGCTGTACAACAGCTAAGAGCATGAAGGTAGGGAGCTGTGGAAGAGGGTGATCTTAAGTGACTTCAGATTTGGTAGTCTGGGAATGCTTCTCGGAAGAGGTGACATTTCATGTAGAACCTGAGAGGTGAGAAGTGGACAGTGATGCAGTGATCCCGACAGGGGAATGGCAAGAATAAAGGCTGTACGTTTGGCGAGATTGAGGAAGAGCATGGAGGCCAGGGTGGCTGGGTCGTCATGGTGAGGATACGGTGAGAGAGATAGACACACCATGGATACCTCTGGAAATCAGAGCTTGGTGTTTGGACTTAGTGAGAGCCACTGGAGGGTTTGAGCAGTAAGCTGAAATGTTCACTCTTGCTTCTGTGTGAAGAGTGGACTAGGGGCCTAGAGATGCATCAGGAAAACCAGTCAGCAGCCCATTGCAGGTGCCCAGACAGAACGAAGAAGTGAAGATAGAGGAAGGGAGTTAGATGTGAAGGCAGAATTGGCAGGGCTTGCTGAGGGTGTTTCAGCTCTTATAAAGTTGTTTCTGTTTTAGTAATTGTATTTTAAATTTGCAATATTTGCTTTTTTGTAATACCTTCATTGATATGTAATTCACATACCATACAATTCATTCATCTAAAGCATACAATTCAGTGATTTTTAGTGTATTCAGAATTGTGCAGTCATGACCACAGTTAATTTGAGAACATTGTCATCACTGCAGATAGAAACCCTGTACCCATAACTCTCACTCCCCGTTCCCGCCTACTTTCCCAACTCGAGACAACCACCAGTCTGCTTTCTGTCTCTCTGGATTTGCCTATTTTGGACATTTTGTTTAAATGGAACCATATCCTACGTTTTACTTTGTAACTGGCTCCTTTTCCTCAATATACTGTTCTCAAGGTTCATCAGTGTTGTGTCGTGTGTCAGTATTTCATTCCTTTTTATGTCTGGATAGTACTGTTGTAGGACTATACTACATTTTATCTATCCATTCATTAGTTGATGGACATTTGGTTGTTTTCATTTTGTGGCTAGTATGAATAATGTTGCAAGATACATTTTTATATGCGTCTATTTTAAAACAAAAAATACATTTTAAAATCTCCTATCTTTCACCCTGGCCACTGTGGCCCAGCGGTTAGAGTGTCGAACCGTGGACCAGAGAGTCACAGGTTTGATTCCTGTCGAGGGCACGTACCTCAGTTGCAGTTTGTCCCTGGCCCTGGTCGGGGTCGTGCAGGAGGCAGCCAGTCGATGTGTCTCTCACGTCAATGTTTCTCTCTCTTTCCCTCCTTCCCTCCCACCCTATCGGAAGACAAATGGAAAAATATCCTCGGGTGAGGATTTAAAAAATAAATAAATTAAAAAAATAAATAAATAAAATCTCCTATCTTTCAATGACATCCTGTTTTATATTTTATAAATTCATTGACTTCTCAAATCTGAGTACACTCCTTACTTTTAAAAAATTCTCTTATTTCTTGCTAACCTCTGGATCATTTGTTGTTGTTTTTTATTTCATTCCATTTATTTTTATTTTATGTTAATTCTCACCCAAGGATATTTTTCCATTGATTTTTAGCTAGAGTGGAAGGGGGTGGGGGGAGAGAGAGACACATCAATTGGTTGCCACCCACACAACCTCCACTGGAGCGAGGATCAAACCTGTAACCCAGGTACATGCCCTCACCAGGAATCAAACCTGGGACCCTTCGGTCCGTGGGCTGTCTCTCTAACCACTGAGCCAAACCAACCTGGGCTCATTCCATTTATTTTTAGCTAATGAGTTTCTTCAGATGTCTGTGATTCTTGTTTGTCTGCTAATTCATGTTTAAAAGAAGGGAATAGTAAAGCAGTTGAGCCATATCTCTTTTTTAGTTCTGTTTACCTCTACAGAAGGTCTCTCCATGAGTGGACTTGTGTGACATACTCCAACATTGAATTTCACTACTGTGCATGCCTCACTCTGAAGCCATGTTTGTGGTCATGCTTAACCATCTGGTGTTATGACTACTTGTCCTCTTTACAAACTGTAGAGTTCAAGAGCAGATGCCATATCTAATTTCATTTTGTATATCCAAATCTCCCTTCACTATGCTTCACGAATAATAAATACATTTGTTGAATTGAATTTTATATCACGTTTAATTGTCATGCATTAAAAATGTGTGTATTTTTTTTTTTTTTTTTAGAGGCGTGGAGCTATTTCCTATGACAGCTCTGATCAGACTGCATTGTACATTCGTATGCTAGGTAAGCATTTTTGTTTTGTACCAATATCAGTTAATTTTATTATCTACTATTATTTAAAATTGAGATACTGTATATTTAATTGGGTACTTTACATCACTGTTTGCACCAGAAATAATCTATTACTGTTTGAAATTGAAGCTAGAAACCAGTGTTGCATGAGATGTGAATCAAGCGGCATTTTAGTGATAGGTAATTGAGAAATTTGGCTTAATCACTGGGACTCTGTCACTAGTAACTAATTTTAAATTGCATCCTGAGTATTCTTCCTAAAAAGAGGTAGTAGGGCTATTTTTGCCCAGTGTGGCTCAGTATTTGAGCAATGTCCCATGGACCAAGAGGTCGCTGGTTCAATTCCCAGTCAGGGCACATGCCCAGGTTGTGGGCCAAATCCCCAGTGGGGGGCATGCAGGAGGCAGCCAATCAATGTTCTCTCTCATCGATATTTCTATCTCTCCTTCTCTCTTCCTCTCTCTCTAAAAATCAATAAAAACATATATTTTTTAAAAAGAGTCTTAGAGTTGTGGAGTTGCTAAGCACTAAATAGATGGCCATGTGAACACAGACAAAGATGAGGCCATGAAATACCTGATCGGAGAGTCCTGTTGCTGGATGTATTTTGTTCTCAGTTGGCTGGCAAGGAAGACCATTTGTCTTCTAATCCCAGTTCTTCAGTGTTTTTTTTTTGTTTTGTTTTGTTTTTTTTATCCTCACCCGAGGACATTTTTCCATTTTTTGCACAGATAGAGTGGGAGGGAGAGAGAGGAAGAGAGAGAGAGAGAGAGAAACATCGACGTGAAAGAGGCACATCGAGTGGCTGCCACCCGCACGACCAACCAGGGCCGGGGACAAACTGCAACCGAGGTATGTGCCCTTAGCGGGAACCGAACCCGGGTCTCTCCGGACCGCAGGCCGATGCTCTAACCACTGAGCCAAACCGGCCAGGGCAGTTCTTCAATTTTTAATGTATTACTTAGATCCACAAAGTAAAATGAATTTTCATGTATGTGTGTGTAATTTTCTTCCTCTCTCTCTGCCAGATTTAGCTCTTTACTAACCCCACACTCTTTTTTTTTTTTTTTGTGGTACATGCCCTTAGCAGGAACCGAACCCGGGACTCTGGTCCACAGGCCAACGCTCAACGCTCAACTGGCCAGGGCTAACCCTACACTCTTGATCCCTCTTACTTTAATTCCTACTGTTAAAATGTACTGTTAAGATTCCAGTAGGCAAACTGCTCATCTTTTCTTCAAAGCATCTTCCATGATGACCCCTCATGCTTTGAATTCTTCCCTTGATTCTGTGATATTGAGCATTCCTTATTCTTCACCTACTTTTTGTTGTTGTTGGGTTGTGTGTGTGTGTGTGAAGTCATTAGTTCCTTTTCATACTCTTAAGCCTAAATGTTCTCCCGTGTCCTGTTTTAGCTCTGTTTCCTTTTTTCCCTCTTTAATGTAGCTTGTGTATCTTACCTACCTCTGTTTCATTCTCTCTGGTACATATTTTCCCCCATGAATGTTCAGCCCTTTCTTCTTCACTGTGTCCATCGCTCTCTCCAAACCTATTCAGAATTCCTCTGTCCTTGAAAAAGAGCTTTAGACTCATGTTTTTTTAAAACTCTATTGAACTTGTCCACATGTGTGTATAACAGGTACTTCATATTTAACATGTCTATTAAACAAAAGATTTGTGTTCCCAAGGCTGTTCACTTTGCAGTCTTGCCATCCCAGAAAATGTAACTCCATTCTCCTGGAGTCATTCTGACTCTTATTTGTTATGTACTCTTTGTCTACTTCATCGGAAAATCTTCTTGGTTGATTCCTGCAAAATAAAACCAAAATTCTGCCACCCCAAATGCTGTTACAATCTGATCTAAGCCATAGTTGATTTTTAACTATAGTCACGTTGTTGTACATTAGAGCCCCAGAACTTATCTTGTATAACTGAATGTTGTGCCCCTTGACCAATATTTCCCCCTGTACACCCCCCCCCCCACAAGCCATAGTTATTGCCGTGTTTATTGCTCTCACTCCTTAATTGATTTCTCTGTATCTACTTATGTGACTGTACTCAACTCTAGTCTACCCAGCCAGAATGAGACTCTTCAGACATGAGTTAAATAAATCACTCTCACTTGTACGTTCAGAGTTCTCTAATGGCTTTCTGTCATAGAGTAACTGCCAAAGCTATTGTAATGTCCCATGAAAGTCCAACGTGATCTGGCCCTACTACCTCTCTGACCTCACCTCCCACTACTTCCCTTCACTCACCTCACCCCAGCCATGCTGCCCTCTTTGCTTGACCTTGAACATGCCGAGCATACGTCCATCTAAGGGTATTTATACTTGTTCTTTCTTACGCCTGGACCGTCTTCCTCCACATAGCCTCACAGCCTCACATCCAGCAGGTCTCTGCTCAGATGCCTTTTCAGTGAGGCCGTCTCTGACTGCACTAATGAATCACTCCTCCCTCCTGTTCCTCTTACCTTACTTCGTTTTCTCCATGTTACCTGTTGCCATCATCTGAAGAATGAAATTATTTATTTATGTATTTATTCATTCATTTATTTATTTATTTTTAATTCTCATCCGAGGATAATTTTTCCTTTAATCTTCAGATAGAGTGTGGGTGGGGGGAGAGAAATGTCACTGTGAGAGAGACACATCTACTGGCTGCCTGCTGCCTGACCCTGACCAGGGCCGGGAACGAACTGCAACCGAGATATGTGCTCTTGACTGGAATCAAACCTGAGACTCTTTGGTCTGCGGGCTGATGTTCTAACCATTAAGCCAAACTGGCCAGGGCTGAAATGATTTATTTTTTATTTGCCTCATTCCGTGAAAGGATAAGCTTCATGAAGACAGGGACTTGATGTATTTCACTTACTGCTGTATTTCTCAAACCTGAAGTGTGGTTGGGTGCTCAGTAAACATTTATTGCAGAATGAAGGAATCATCGCATGAGAAAAGTGATTAATCATTATGGGATAGACTCATGGTAGATGACATGAACCTTGAAAGAAGTGATGGCCTACTTCCTGTCAAGAAGGCAGCATAAGTAAATGGGGTACTCACCTCCTCCCACAACCACATGAAAATTACAACTAAACTACAGAACAACATCATTCAGAACCACCTGACATTGAGCTGAATGGAAGTCCTACAACTACGAAATTAAAGAAGCAGCCACATCCAGACTGGTAGGAGGGGCGGAGGCGCAGACGGGCTGGTCCCATACCCATGTGTGGCAGATAAAAACCAAGAGGGACACCTCGGCTGTGAAGGTCCTCTCTGAGGACTGAGGGGTCCCCATCTTCCACCAGGCTCCCAGCTCAGGGTTCCAGTGCCAGGAAGAGAAGTCCGCATAACTGGCTGTAAAACCATTAGGAACTGAGACTGAGGGAGGCTGAGGCTGCTGGAGCCCCAGGAAGCTCCTCTTAAAGGGCCCACGCACAGACATACGTGGACTTGCTCCTTCTGGGCTCCAGCGTTGGGGAGGCGGCTTAAAAGGCATCAGAGACATACAGGGAAGAACTGAGTTGTTTAGCATTGGGGCGAGAGCTAAAGGGGCAACTTTCTCCCAGACAGACTTGCTGTGGGAGGCCTGTGTTCCTTTGGTGAGCCCTTCTCTGGGGCAGCAGACAGCCACCATATCTGGGACTCCAGCAACCTGGCTCACACTGTTTGCCCTGCCCTGGTGATTCTCCAAGGCCCTGCCCCACCCAGCTTTTGAGCTCACCCAAGCTGTTTCCAATGGCTTTACCATAGGATTGGCCTGTCTTGGATCCTGCTTCAGAGTTTCCTAAAATATCCTCAAAAAGCAGCATCTGAGCTCAGCCAGCCCCATACCTCTCATTAAGTACCCCCAGGCCTGGCACTAGAAGCAGTCAGCCTTGGTTTACAACTTGGCTTTTCCTGGGCACCTCCAAGCCCAGCACAAGAAGCAGCCATCTGCAGTTCACTTTGTAGCTTATACTGGGTGGCCCTGGGTAGAACACAGGCAGTGGCTGACCTTACCCCAGAGCCAGCACACCCAGTGGACAGCTTCAGACCACATCGAAACACCACCACCCAACCACCTCCACAAGTGACACACTCAATGATCAGACTCAGCGGGTACCAGAGCCCTCATGAAGTAAGTCTTGCTCTGTGTGTTAGGCCCTTCCAAGGGAGTCAGAGGCCAGTGGTCATTGGGCGCAGCCAATCCTTGCAGCTTATCAGCTTGAGTAAATTCTTCCCGTTGATGTGCCAACAGCATTCAAGACTCAGTTACAAGAGAAGGGTGTGCAGTCCATACTAGGGATCACCTCAAGGACCCAGCTGGGGTGGTCAGGGAGACTGTGCCACTGGATCCTACAGGACACCTACAACAATAGGCTACCCTAGAAAGCCTAAGAGATATAGCAACTCTGCCTAATACATACAAACAAACACAGGGAAGCAGCCAAAATGAGGAGACAGAGAAAAATATCCCATATGAAAGAACAGAATAGAATTCCAGGAAAAGAACTAAACAAAATGGAAATAAGTAATCAATGAGATGCAGAGTTCAAAACACTGGTTATAAAGGTGTTCAAGGACTTTAGTGAGACCTTCAAGGAACTGAGAACATCCACAACATAAAAAATGACCAGTCAGAAATGAAGGCTGCATTAACTGAAATAAAGAATAATTTACAGGGAATCAATAGTAGAGTAGATGAAACCATGAAGCACACCATTGATTTGGAATATAAGGAAGCAAAAAACACCCAATCAAAATAGCAAAAAGGAAAAAAAATCCAAAAAATGAGGACAGTGTAAGGAGCCTCTGGGACAACTTCAGGCGTACCAACATTTTCATCATAGGGGTCCCTGAAGAGAAAATAAGAAATTGAAAACCTATTTGAAACAGTGATGACAGAAAACTTCCCTAACTTGGTGAAGGAAACAGACATACAAGTCCAGGAAGCACAGAGAGTCCCGAACAAGATGAACCCAAAGAGGTCCACACCAAGACACATCATCATCAAAATGCCAAAAGTTAAAGACAAAGAATCTTAAAAGCAGCAAGAGAAAAGCAGTTAGTTACCTACAGTGGAGCTCCCATAAGACTGTAGGCTGATTTCTCAAAAGAAACTTTACAGGCCAGAAAGGGGTGGCAAGAGATATTCAAGGTGATGAAAAGCAACAACCTACAGCCAAGATTACTCTATCCTACAAAGCTATCATTTAGAATCAATGGCCATATAGAGAGTTTCCCAGACAAGAAAAAGCTAAAGGAGTTCACCACCAAACCAGTATTATATGAAATGTTAAAGGATCTTCTTGAAGGAGAACAACAACAAAAATGTGAACAATAAAATGGCAATAAATACATATCTGTCAACAATTAATCTACAAATAAAATGAGCAAGCAGAACAGAAACAGACTCATAGATATAGAGAACTTTTTCTTGCTTGCCAAATGGGAGGGGGCTGGGCGATGAGTGAAGAAGATGAAGGACTTAAGAAGTACATATTGGTTGTTAGACTGATGGACCTTAAAGGGAATGGGGGGGGGGGGCAGAGCGGGGAGAGATAAACCAAAGAACTTCTATGTATGTGTGCATAACTATGGACACAGACTATAGTGTGGGGAAGGCAGGAGAGGGCAGTATTGGGGAGGAGAGGGGGTCAATGGGAGAGAAAAAAGAGGACATCTGTAATACATTCAACAATAAAGATAAGTTAAAAAAAAGAAGTGATGCCTTACTTAGAGAAACAAAGAGTAGGCAGAAAAGCCTCAGGGCACGTAGAATTGCAGGAGCACAGGGACAGGGACTAAAGACTTAAAGGTTATGAACCTGGAGGCTGTGGAAGTATAGTGGAGCCACAGAGCAAGGTTTAAACCCTGACTCACCCTTTACTTTGTGGCATCTTTAAAATGAGATAAAGGTCCTACTGTCAGTTGGTTAGAGATTTAAATAAATAATGTCTGTAAGGCCCAAAAAGAGTGCCTGGTCCATGGCATGCTGTGGTGCTGTTTGGAGCAGTACATGTGAGCATTACTGTAGAAATAATGCTGAGCTTGTAAAGACCAAAGTGTAAGCCAGCTGAAGGCCATGGGTATACCCACTGTCAGTGAAAAGAGATTGATCAGATTACACAGGGCTGATCTGGAACATTTTAATGTTCTGTACATTTTTAAAAATTGTACGCTGCTTTAGAGTAGGCATTTTCTGTTTCTTCATATCCCCTATAGTGTGTAGTATAGTGCTAGGTACAGAGTAGACAGTTTATAAATATTAGTTTCTCCTGTGGCTTTTTAACATTTTGTGCTGAGGATTTTTTTAAAATTCCAAGTGAGTAATAAAAGATTAAGTTTAATTATCATACACTTGAGTCATCTTTCAGAAGGCTAACTTTAAAATATAGATTATAATAATTATTGTAGGAGTAGATTTTGAAAATCAACAAAAATCTTCATCTAGCTTTACAACTCAGTAAAATTTATATAAATCAACTCTTAACTGCTTATTCCAAATATATTACTAGTGAGCCATTACTTATGAATTCGATACCACATAGACCTTTGTTGCATGAGGGAGCTTCTTCCCAGATGGTAGTCTTCTAAACCTATGTTTCGTTCTTGTTCCATCCAGGAGATGTACGCGTAAGGAGCCGAGCAGGGTTTGAATCAGAAAGAAGAGGTTCTCATCCATATATTGATTTTCGTATTTTTCACGGTAAGTGTTGGCAGACACAATATTTCTCTCAGATGTTGAGTAGACTTCAGATCTTTGTAAAATTATATAATTTACCAAGGAAAAAAGACTATAAGAAAAAACTATATTATGTTTGGAATGTTTTAAAAACACTGGGTCATGATAAATGACATTTATTCCTAGATAAAGTTTGTAAAATGTTTAGAGATAATTAGAAATATGACAGCTAATGTACTTTTTCTTCTTTTTAATTGAAATGTGAAATTACTTTGGTACATTTATTTTATTTAAAAAAATTTTTTTCTCTATTTTAAAATTTTATTTTTAAATTATAGTTAACATTCACTATTATTTTGTAATAGTTTCATGTGTACAGCATAGTGGTCAGACAATCATATACTTTGCAATATTATTGACTATATTCCCTATGCTGTACTTTACATCCCCGTGACTATCAATTTGCGCTTCTTAACTTTCACCTCTTTCATCCAGCTTCCCAACTTCCTTCCCTTCCAACAACCATCTGTCTGTCCTCTGTATCTATGAGTCTATTTCTAAAAAAAAATATTTTTTTAAGTTTTTTACTCCAAGTGTTTTGTCTTCACTACTCCAGGTGTTTTTGTGCAAATGACATTTTCTAAAGGTATTGCATATTTAACAAGGTATCTCCTTTTAGTTAATTTGAAAATGTACATCACCTTTAAAGATGTCTGGTAGAATGCATATTTTGAAAATAAATGGAGGAAAGAGAAAAGGGGAAAAAACAGAACTTCTAAAACCTTTAAATATTAAACACATTAAGTCTGTTTCTGGAGAAGTTCCACTTTTGGTAATGTTGGATAAATTATTTTGATTAATACTCTATTTGAAAATATTAGAAAAATTGAAGATGTATTTGAGAATGCTTTTAAGGCAGAGAGATGTGCTACTTTTCCCCTTAATAGTATCTGTTGATTCTGGGAAAGGTGAATGATAAGCTGAGGAGAGATTCTGGTGAACACTCAAGTCTAGAAAAACAAAAACAGGTGTTTATAACTCACCAAGGGTTGGAGATTGGTCCTGGTAAACCTTCGATGTCTAAGTTGGAAACACCAAAGTGCTAAACCTTAGAAATAAATCCCAGCTTTGAAACATCTCAACCAGTGACTAGATTAAGGTGATCTGTTATTTTGATGCCCCTAGTCACCTGCTAGAAGTAAATATTAATCCTCTAAGTCTCAAATAACTTCTAAATTTTTTATGTGCAACATCAAACAATGAATTAAAAATAAAAAGTCATAAAGAGACAAGACAATGTGACCAAAAATGAAGAAGAAACAACAGGTAATAGAAATATTCATAAGGCATCCTAATTTAGAATTATTGTGCATGGGCTTTAAAATAATTAAATATAATTGCATTGATAAAAAGAAAGAGACAGGACTGAGAATGTCATTGGAATACTGAAAATTGTGAAAGAAGAACCAAATGGAAAGTCTAAAAATGAAAAATATACCTTAAATATCAACACATTGGAGATGATTTAACAGCAAATAAGACCAAAATGAAGAGATAATTAGTGAATTGAAAGATTGGTCAGAAGAAAATACTTAGAATGAAACACAATGAGGCAAAAGGAAGAAAATACAGAAAAGACATGAGGAATATGTTCAGTTACGTATTGCTCTGTACCTGTCAAGAATTGTGGAGAATCTGGGATTTTTACCTTCTAAACTAACAAGTTTGCCTGGTACTGCTTCATGGATGCTGGTAGGAGGCACAAGACTCCTGGATCAGAGACAAAGAACTTTATTATTCATGACACAGCAACATGAATATCATTCTGTGTCATTTCTTCCACCACCACCCTTCCCCATATCCTACAGTGGCAACAAGGATGGGTTTATGTGGATATTTTACAAACAACGAGTTTTCTTTTTATCACGTCTGAGTAATATGAGCTTGGGGAATTTACCCCTTTTATATAGTAAGAATACCCTTTGTCCCAGCGAAAGATCTTATTTATCCCTTAAGGATGCTAGCTGCAAACACAGTCCTGCGAAATTGGTCAGGTCATAGGTTCTTGACACATCCACGAAAAATTGAACTGACAATGGGGTCTTTGTGGAGGATTGCTTTTCTCAGTAGTAACAAATAATCCCAAAACATATGGGCATAAAACAGCCTTTTGTTATGATCATAAATCTGAGAGTTAGTAATTCAGTCTGGGTTTGATTTGTCTCTGCTTCACAATGTCCTCATCTTCACCTGGGGCAGTTTAAATAGCTAGAGATGGTTGGGATGGCTCCATCTTTTGAAAGATTCTGGCATGATTATAAATAGTAATAGCAGCTACCATCTTGATAGTTACTTCTTTTCATGAAATTCACCAAAGCTTATTGACTGAAATTCACCAAAGCTTATTGGCATCATACAGACAGGAAGGCATGGTCTCTCTACCAACGTCAAAAAAAATACAAGGAATATATGTTTTTACATTGTTTTTCATTCCTCATAAGGGCATTATTATTATTTTTTTTCATTTTCTATTTCCCCTGGTGCATGGTAATGTTCCATTCCATGTAAATGTATTTTGCCCATTATCTTGAGCTTTTTATTCATTTTAGCATTTTATGCAACCCCATACTAGGGCAGTAAGAGAATCTTTTCAGGATACTTACATCATAGCATAAAAGCTGTTAACTTTAAGCTTTGTCTTGTTCATCTTTGTGTTCCTGTTCTCTGGCAGTCTCTGGCTCATCGTAGAGATTGAATAGTTTTGTTGCATCAAATTGTCTAAAATCGGCCCTGGCCTGTGTGGCTCAGTGGGTTGGGCATTGTCCCATGCACCAAAAGGTTACAAGTTTGTTTCCTGATCAGGGTACATGCCTGGGTTGTGGGATAGATCCCTAGCAGCGGGTGTGCAGGAGGCAGCTGATCAGTGTATCACTCTCACATCGATGTTTCTCTCTCCCTAAAAAAAAACTGTTTATCTTCTATCAGTTAGATTGTATAGGGTCCCATTTGTATTTCTCTAAGTATAATGTGTATTAACTGTTAACCAAATTCAATCTGGTTACTGCCTTTCTGTTGAATCAAATATCTTGTATTGTTTTATGTAATGTTCCACTATGAAAACATAAAAAACTCTCCCTAAATTTTCCCTTGATCTTCATGTGTGTTTGATTTGGGGTTGTTTCCTGTCTTTCTACCAGGGCTGTGTTAGACTTGGATACTTGTTTCATGTTTAGTTATATGATCAGAAAGAACATCTGTTTTTGTGTGTATTTTGGGCTTAAAAGCTTATGTCATACTGATTTGTTTTAAATTATCTCTGTCTATAATATATAGTAACTCTCATAAGGGTAGATCCTATTATATTCAGAAGCTTTTTCTGCTTCTCACTTTAAGCATAAAAGTTGGTGCTTGGCATTTCCCTTTGCCATGACTTTCTTTGTTACAGTGTTTGTTTTTTTTTTTTTATTGTATTTCCTACTGTACTGCCTAGTCATTATTAACTATTTACAAGCATGTTTTTTCAGCCATTATTTGTTTGATCTGCTAAAGTGGCTTTGTTTGATCTCCTTCAAGTGTGAGCATGCCAGCCTCTACTCATAGCTGTGGTGTTGTGGACTAAGGTCATACTTTAAGTTTTAGTTTGTTCCCAATCATTCATTTGAAATAGTTTCTGGTTGTTTCAAAAACATTTCTGTCATCATTTGTGAAGATACAACAGAAAGCAATAATCTCATGTCCTTTTTCATCATGAAGGTTCCTGCCTCCTTCCTGTAACACTTTCCTCACTAAGCAGTGCTTGTAGAGATGAGCCCTGTTGTATTGAATCAAATTAGGAAGCAGCATTCTGCCCTGTGTGCGTGTATTTTTAAAAACTTATCAAGTTTTCAGGTGATTGTAAAATGCCTGCATTGAAAACTACTGGTTTCTTTTTTTTTCTTTTTTTGTTAATCCTCACCCAAGGATATTTTTCCATTGATTTTTAGATAGAATGGAAGAGGGGTTGGGGAGGGGAGAGAAAGAGAAACATCGATGTGAGAGAGACACATCGATTGGTTGCCTCCTGAAGGACCCTGGTCAGGGCCGGGCACTAAACCACATCCGAGGTACATACTCCTGACCAGAATTGAACACGTGACCCTTCAGTCCCAGGGCTGTCGCTCTAACCACTGGGCAAGACTGGCCGGGGCAAAACCACTGATTTCTTATCTACTGGATATCTTCTCTAACTTCGTAGCGTAAATTAGGGACTTTAATGGTAATGTAAGTCTACTTTGGAGAATTGGGGAAATTGGAGATTTAAGTTTAGGCTTTATTTTGTGTGCTACCCATTAAGGCCGTGTGTACTTTCTTTCCTTCTTTTTTCTCAGCTCACTAATAAGGGAATTAAAAATATAATAAAGTCTGGCTGGTGTGGCTCAGCGGGTGAGCGTCGACCCATGCACCAAGAGGTTACCAGTTCAATTTCCGGTCAGGACACATGCCCAGGTTGTGGGCCTGGTCCCCAGTTGGGCGCATGGAGGAAGTGGCCAATTGATGTTCCCTCTCATCAGTGTGTCTATAACCCTCTCCCTCTCACTTCCTCTCTCTAAAATCAATAAAGGAAAAAATAAAAATTTTTTAAAAATATAATAAATGAGGAGCTATGTTCAAGTCCTGAATTTAAGCATAAGAGGGAACCAACACAACCCATAACTGAAGAGCGGAAATGCCCAGTCCATACAATAATAAGACTAATCTTTTAAAAGGATTTTTTTATCTTTATTATTGAATGTAGTACAGATGTTCCTCGTTTTTCCCCCATTGACCCCCTCCTCCCCACTCCTGCCCCCCTCCCCTCCTGCCTTTTCCCACACTGTTGTCTGTGTCCATTGGTTATGCATATAATTTCTCTGGTTTATTTCTTCCCACTCCCCAACCCCCTTCTCTTTGAGATTTGTCAGTCTAGCAACCAATTTGTTCTTCTTAATCCCTTCACCTTTTTCACCCATTCCTTCAACCCCCCTCCCATCTGGCAACCAGCAAAA